GCCGCGGCCGGCACCGCACCGCCGCAGCCGCCGCCGGCCGTCGTCGCGGCCGCAGCGCGCGCGCGCGGCCTCGCGCTCGCCGCTGCGGCGGCGGCGCTGCCTAGGCTGCGCGTCTTGGAGGTCACGTTCTTCGACGGAGCCACGCGGGCTTGGCTGGACCTCGCCCTCTCCGCTTTCCATGATCTAGATCATCATTCACAGCAGCCAGGTGTCGGTGCCTGCGCCAGAGGGGGCGCCGTTGGCAAGGCCAGGCCGCGCCGGCCGGAGGTCTGGGATCTCAGTGACCCCGCGAGCATCCAGGCCGCCGCGCGCGCGCTCGCCCGCGCTCCGCCGCCCGGCGCCGCGGCGCTGGCGCCCGCGCTGCGCGCCGCGGTGAGCTGCTCCTCCCGCGGCCGCGCGACGCCGCTGCACGTCGCGGCCGAGGCAGGGCGCGCTGCGACGGTGCGCGCGTGCCTGGCGCTCGGCGCCTCCGTGTCCGCAAAGGACGCCGCCGGCCAGCAGCCGCTGTTCCTGGCGTGCGAGGCAGGGCACGCGGCCGCGGCGGCGGCGCTGCTGCGCGGCGGCGCGTGCGCGACGGCGGCGGCGGCGCGATCGGGAGAGACGCCGCTCTACATCGCGGCGCTCAAAGGTGGGTGAGGAATGGTCCCGAGATGCGGCCAGGCGTGGATGGTATGTGAAAGTGGCAAACTAGCAAAGGGTTGCCTTAAGCTGGCCAGGCCACCGAGCTCTCCCACAGAGAGCATGCCCCTGATGCTGCCCCCGCAACAGCAGCTGCCTGCTGCCGGCGCCAGGGCAGCCCCACGCCGGCGCCCCGCACAGCGAGCCCAAGCACATGTGCTGTCTTTTGCAGATAACATGCTTTTCAATGCGAGACGCGAGGCCCCTCTTTCCCATTGGCCCAACCTCCAATTGACATGCACACACGTAAACACACAAACACACGCTTGCGCATGCACCCCTCCCCCGCACCCCAGGCCACCGGGCGGTGGTCACCCTTCTCCTGCGCCACTTTGGGGGCGCGGCCGTGCCCTGGTACTCGCCAGACCTGTACTGCGACGCTTTCACGCCCCTCATGGTGGGATGATGTCGTGATGCCGACATGATGACGGGGTCGGACTTACGTAGCGGTAGCTTCACGGATGCCACTGCGGATTTGAACAGTGTGCACTGTGTGAACTGTGAGGAGGCCACGACAGCTCAACTCATGCTGCGCCCTGCAGCTCAGGGGGCCCATCAACCTTCAGCTCTCATGATTGCAACATTTGCCACTCACACACACACTTGTGTATGCGTGGGATACACACACGCTCGCACGCTTATGCATACGTGCACACACACAGGTGCACACACACTCACACCTGCCCACACAGGCAGACGCACACGCACGCACGTAGACATGCACACACACGCAAGCACACACACGCATGCACGCACGCACACACACCCCTCCTCACACATGCACGCTGTCGTCGCCCCTTCGACGCCCCCTGCAGGCCGCCGCGGTGGCCAACAGGTTGGAGGTGGCCGCCCTGCTGCTTCAGGAGGCGGGCGCGCACGCGGGCGCCCTGGCGGCGGCCACCAACCGCTACGGCCAGAGCGCCTGGCAGATCGCGGCGCGGAAGGGCTGCAGGCAGATGATGCAGCTGCTCGCCACCGCCGCCGCCGCGTGAGGCGCCGGCTGGGTGGGCAGGGCTGCGTGTGCTGCTGCTTGGGGTGCCGCTGCAATATCGACGCGTGCAGGCCCAAGCAAGCAGGTTTCTTGACAACTGCTCCCGGGCCGCCGATGCTGCCCAGGCGTAAGCCTGAGCGCTGCTGTCAAACAAAGGGCCGCCCACCCCGCCAGCGTTTGCCGCTGCCCCATTTGGTTTGTCGACATCATTCGCTCCGCCTGGTCATCCGCTCCAACTTGGCCAATCCCTGCTGTCTCGGATGTGCTTTTGGTCCCTTTTTGTGCCCAACAAAGTTGTCCACCCAAAATGCTTATCTTCAGGCAGAATTGTAGAGATGGCAATTGCAAAAGCACCCTGACGGTGCAATATGGAGATCTGTGGTCATGCGGACGACTGTGAGTAACATCCTGTGATTGCGCTGCGCGCGGCTTGATAATTGCCAAGCTCTCGTTTCAGCGACTGATGTCTTGTGCCTTCCTGTATAGCGTAGCGCGTAACCTTTCATCGACAGGGGTGATTGACGTGGATTGGAGCCCAGCCCTGACGTCGCTGCTGGGGGCGGTGCGCCCTGCAAACTTTATGGGCTGACTGCATTGCATGCATGTAAAGATTGGTGAACGCTTTGGCACTCTTATTCCGATTTTTGGATGGCGAGGGGCACTGTTTTGTGTGGGGCTCCCGGCTTTGAGTGCCCCCTTGCCAAAGCAGGGTTGACCCGAGTGGGTGCAGTTTGACCATGCTCGGTTGCCCACAGTGGGTATCAGCAAAAAATCTGTACCACCCCCCCCCCCCGACGTGCGCCTCACTGCGTGCATGCGAGTTCGGTGTGTTATCTTGCCCTTGGTGGCAACAAATGCAACACGTGTCGCAGGAAATGCGCACAAAGATGGTGGGTGGTGCTGAATCCTGCATGACTGATGTACACTGCCTTGAAGCAGCTGCTTGGACGTGATGGCCGTGCTGAGTGCTCGTTTCCCAAGCACGTATGGTTACGATTGGCGATGCATGAGGCCAATTGAAAGCCTCAGATCGCAAAAAAATGCAGCCACTGCGGGTGGCCGGCCATTGCAATCCGAAGGAATTGCGCATACATCACCATAGAGTTGCAGTTCGTATGTATGTCAGAAGCAGACGACCTGCGCGCGGCCTAGCCGCCGCTATTTCTGCGGGTGAGACAGCAGCGCCGGCGCCGCCTGCTGTTGTTGTGAGCGGCGCGTCCAGCGGCATCGGCAAAGCCACGGCCGCGATGCTGGCGGCCAACGGCTGGCGCGTGTTTGCGGGCGTGCGCAATGAGGCGGCTGCGGACGAGCTCCGGGCGATCAGCCCCCTGATTGAGCCCATCACGCTGGATGTGGCAGAGTGAGGCGGGTGCAGAGGCAAAAACTTGAACGGGGCTCGCTTGACTACTGAATTTGCAGCAGCTGCTGATGATCAGATGTATTGATCAGGAACGCTGTCATGCAGCCGACGATATGCAGCCAACTGGGTGCTTCACGGCATGCAGCTGCATGTGCTGTGCCCGTGCATGTGCACTGTCCCCACCGCCGACCGAGCCGCTGCCGCCGCCGCCCCCGCCGCCAAACTCGCTCGTGTGCAGCCCCGGCAGTGTGAACGCGGCCGCGGCCCAGGTCCGCGAGGCAGTGGGGCAGGATGGCCTGCAGGGTCTGGTCAACAACGCAGGGTTTGGCATCTTCGTCCCAGTGGAGTGCCTGACCGGTGATTTGAATCGCGCGGCGGAGCTCCGCCCCCCGCACCACTTGCGTGCAAACCCCCAACACCCGCCCAAACAACCAGGACCTCAGCCTTAGCCAATGCAAGCCCCTTGCTTTGCTTGGTTCACATGCACTTGCTCTCACCTGCTCAAGAGACGTTCATTCTCGACCTCGCCCTCAACCTGCAGATGAGGCGTGGGAGTCCGTGATGAACGTTAACGTGACGGGCGTGCTGCGCTGCACGCGCGCGCTGCTGCCGCTGCTGAGGACGGGGGAGCGGCGGGGGCGTGTCGTCAACATGAGCAGCATCGTAAGGGGCATGCATGAGCACAGACTGGATGTCTGTATCTGATTCAGCAATGGCAGCTCAAACTTCGGGGGACAAGGGCGCCTTGGTATTACGTGGGGTTGGGGTTTGAAAAACAGACAGGTCTACACGCATTCATCGCCCCTGCACCTGGAGCCGTCACCTCAATATCTCCAGTGTCAATCTTTGACCGCGATTATGGGGACGCCTGCCGCCACGCCGCGCGCGCGCCCACGCAGGCGGGTAGCACCTCGTTCCCTCTGTTTGGGGTGTATGCGGCGTCGAAGCACGCGCTTGAGGCGATGTCTGACGCGCTGCGGTTCGAGCTCGAAGATCAGAGGATCCCGGTCAGCATCGTCAAGCCCGGGCCCGTCGTCACCGGTGAGTGGTGGTTAGGTACACATGAGCGGAGCCGGGGGTGGGAACAGCACCACATGAAGGCTGTTGGTGGACGGATTGTTTGGAGCAGGACCGCTGCTCAGAGATGGCTGTGTTTTTGTGCATCTTCTGTCTGGTCCTGCCGCATGTGTGACGCGCATGCCTGGTCCCCAACACACACACACACACACACACACACACACACACTCACACACGCACGCACTCACACACACGCACTCACACACACACACACACGCACGCACGCACACACGCACGCACGTGCGACTGCACATGCACGCGTGATTGCACTATGCATACACTTTCAAACTTGCTGCCTTCGCCATGCTATGCTGCGATCACCAACCACCTTGCACTGTGCCAAAACAGTCATCCACCTCACATCCGTCTCATCCCGTTTCATCGCTGTCTCTCAGACATCTGGCGCCGCGGGCGCGAGGGCAGCGCGCAGCAGCAAGTGTCCCCAGAAGCTTTCCGGCTGTACGGCGACCTGATGGCAAAGGTAAGTGACATCATTTTGACATCATGACTGTGCACACAACCATTGCTGCCACAAACGGGCGTGGCGCACGTCAGATATTTGTGCAACAGCCCGGGAACACAAATCTGGAGGGATGCGCTGCAGCAGCCGGCGTGTGCTGCTGTCGCGCTGGAATGTCAACTCATGGCGGGCCTCTCAGTTCTGCCGGTTACACCGCCTGTAGCTGCCTGCCCGCCCAGCAGGTCCCGCCCCACGCCGTACGGCCCAGAAGCAACACGCCGCCCACACCTGCTGCATTGCCGCAGACCACCCGGCTGACGGAGGAGAGCGAGGTGGACGGCGTGCCGGCTGACGACGTGGCAAAGGTTGTACTGCACGCGCTGACGTCACCGAGGCCGCGGTCGCGGTACTTGGTGGGCAAGACGGCGCCGATGATGCACGTGCTGCGGCGGCTGCTGCCCGATGTCCTGTGGAACCCCATGATATCTTCCTACTACAGGCGCAGCTGATGACTATTGATTTCCTGTGAGAGACACCTCTGTCACAGCCCTGCTCAACCTGAATTATTTTGCCTACAGCTGCAGGCATTGTCATTTGATCGCAATGAATTCACAAAGATCATCATTACGACTGGCATTCGCGGTCCCTATTCATGCTTGGTGACACCTGGCTTTGAATCCATTCGAACGTCTTTGTGAAACTGAGCTTCCTCATGATTTTTTCTGAGGCTGCATCTTATGTGACGTGCCTTTCCTGAATTTGCACGCACCTGTGTGCTTTGTGGGGCACACACGACTAAGCAGCGAGCGTAACAGAACCTGAGGCATGGCCTTGCCACTGGCTGCGATACGCAATCAGGCACTTAATCCAATAGGGAGAGGCGTTTTGGAGGCAGGGATCACATGGCATTAATAAGACATGCGAGTGGCGGCAGGAACTAGGAAGCCTCCCGGCGGCTGCAGGTGTGCAGCGGCGAGGGCCAGGAGGCCCCAGGTAGAGATGTGCACCGGGCGGCTGCATGTTAAGTGCTAGCATGCATGGCCCGTACTCAGGCTGTCGTGCAGCGACGTTGCATGCCGTTCCAGCCCCATGGTGAGCGCTGCCTCTAGTGTGCTGTTTCATGAGAGCGATGGACACGGCCTGCTGTCCATATTGTGCCGTTTCAGATGGTGCACAGCAGCGAAGCAACACCGTGAGCGGATACGCTGCTCAATTTTGCAGTCACTCATAGAGCCCAAGGCCAGCACAAGGTAACCCTTCGCTGCATCACATGCTGCACCTGATCTGTCGCTGCGCTGCTGTCACCTACTGCTCCCACTGTGCCTGCACTGAGAACAACGTTGTTAAGCAGCGTGCAGCTTCTTGGATCAATATGACCTGCGTATCGCGCCGCTGTGTCTACTCGAGGACCCAGGGCTGCAGATCAAGATCACCCGCGTCCTTCAACAATGATGCAAGGCTACTTCATTCTCGTATCACTCAAAAAATAGGTGAATGCGTCCCGCATTCATTAAGTCGGATACATCGAGATATAAGCCGGCTTTTTTCAAATCCAGAGCAGTCCTAGCTGTTTCCAACTGCCGTCTCCTACGACCATAGGCCGCCTCTTGGGCGATCAGATCGCTCCACGTATAAAATGGGGCCATGCGCCCCACTGCGCCGGAGCGCAGGCGCAACCCCATCGCTGGGTGCCGCTCGCGCCGCGCACAGTCGCCGCCGTACGCAGCCGGTCGCGTTCTGGAACACCTCCCGCCCGGCGGCCGACGGC